CTGTCCAGTAATTTGAAACATAGGAAACAGTGAGATCTGGACTATTACATCATCAATAACCCAACATTCTTTCCTCGAGGATTTAGCCTTTGCCGGGGTTATTTAGACCTGGGGCTTTTAGGAAAAAAGACTGACATTATTTGTTCTACATCTGAAACTGGTTTCTATCTGCCTGAAGCCAGCCTAGAGGCATCCAAATCCCTTTTGTCTGTGAGTGAATCGGAAATAAATCTGGGTGATGAACCTGATCGCTACATCATTGCACAGCAAATCTCATTCTTAGGAAAGTGCCTCCATTATGTCATTTTTTGCAGGATGAGAAGGAAAAATAGTCATGATTGCCTCTTTCCTCCTGGGTACCATAAACATTTTTTTTCTGTTATTGTATAAGTTAAGAAAAATGAGCGGCACCAGGGAAGACGACTTAACCTTCCTCTCCCAACCCAGTTTCCAGCCAAAGCATCCTCATTTCCTTCCCTGTTAGTTACTGAGCTTGCTTTTCCTGTGATAATTTCCTTTTTGGAATTTTTATGACTTTAATATTTTAATCAAGCTTGAAGTGTGTGTGTGTGTGTATATATATATATATATATATATATGTCACCCTAAAAATAAATCTATTGATAATGCTTTTTTGCAGTTCTTTTATCCCATATCTGGTGAATATTGCTGTTTGTGTAGAATGGTATTGTGGAAGATGTAGAAAAACTCAAATTTGAGTCCTTAATTTTGCTTGTTTTTGATCTTGAGCAGTTTCATTAAGCTCAGTGAGCCAATCACTTACTTCATTTATGAGAATGATAAATTGAGTGTAAGGATAATGTAAGAGTGTGAAGATAATATATTTAAGGTGTTAGTAAATTTCCAATAAATAATAAAGCTTGAAGTGACAGCTTGGGCAGTGAAAAAAAGTCATGACTTAAGAGACATTCAGTCCCGATAAGATAAGGTAATGTCTTTGTGCAAGTCACTTACTATGCCTAAGTCTTACTCCCCATTTACAAATGGGTACTGTAAGCTCTATTGAGGATTATAAATAGGAGTATAGAAAGACTACTGTTTCCACAGCAGCATAGACAAGGGCTAAAAACAATAATCACATCATAAGATATCTATTTCATTCTTTTACATTTTTTGTATTCTCTCTCTACATATATTTTTTAAAGATTTCTTTATTTATTTGAAAGTCAGTTATACAGAGAGAGAAGGAGAGGCTGAGACAGAGAGAGGTCTTCCACCTGCTGGTTCACTCCCCAGTTGGCCACAATGGCCAGAGCTGCGCAGATCCGAAGATAGGAGCCAGGAGCTTCTTCCAGGTCTCCTACACGGGTGCCTGGGCCCAAGGACTTGGGTCATCTTCCACTGCTTTCCCAGGCCATAACAGAGAGCTGAATTGGAAGTGGAGCAGCTGAGTCTCAAACTGGCACCCTTGGGATGCCAGCACTGTAGGCGGTGGCTTTACCTGCTATGCCACAGCACCGGCCTCTCTTGTTTTCTGTATTAACTACATATACCAGAAAAAAACGTATGATATTTGTCTTCTGGGGACTGGTTTATTTCACTAAGCATAATGGTTTCCAGTTGCATCTGTTTTGTTGCAAAAGACAGGATTTCATACTTTTTATGGCTGAGTGGTATTCCTTGGTGTGTATATACCACATTTTCTTTATCTAGTCATCAGTTGATGGACATTTAGGTTGATTCCGTGTCTTAGCTATTGTGAGTTGAGCTGTAATAAACTTGGGGTACAGATAACTCTCAAATGCTGATTCATTTTGTTTGGGTAAATTCCCGGTTGTGGGATGGTGGGTCATGTGGTAGGTCTGTTTTCAGAATTCTGAGGCATCTCCATACTGTCTTCCATAAATGGTTACCTTAGAATTGCTTCTGTGAAATATTTTAAATCTGTGCTCTTTATATTAATACATTTTTATAAAAAATGAATAGGAGCCTGGAATATAGCAAGTACTTGTTTCTGTACTGTTATTGAGTCACCTTTTTTTAAACTTATTTTATCCCCGATTATTATCTTGCTTCTTAATTTTATTACCACCTGTGTAGATTATCCTAGTATTAGGGTTACTCTTAGAAGTACAGTGCATCTTACCTGCCACATACTTTCACTCTTAAGAATTGAATAATGAAAAAAAAAGAATTGAATAATGTAGGAAACATTTTTAAAGGTTGACTATGGATTATTATAGCTCTTCTTTATTCCTTTAATTCAATAGATAAGCCCAAGGCAAAGTGAAATGAACTTGCTAGGCAATCTATCAAAAAGCTATAAAACAATTTTCTATGAGTGAGAGAAATGGAGTATAATTTTCAGCTGGGGCATTAAAAGGTTTATGGTTATCCTCTAGCAGCTGGCTTGGACAGTGTGCTGAGGTCAGACTCGCCTGCTTCTAGATTTCAGATTTACCACTTGAAACATGCTTGAGTTTGGCTACTGGCACCTCTGTTTCTCAGTTTTTTCTTCTGTAACTTCCAGAGAGTGACACTCTGTATTTGTGTGTGTATACATATCAAATAATACAGACATGGAAGAGATTTCATCTTGCAAACCTACTGTAAATAGTTGTTGGTGTTTGGGGAGGCTGAGATAAAATTCTGTGTGTCAAAAGGTATTAAATAAGAGGTATGGGGAACCTAAGACATTGGCCACCTGGACCTTGCATAGCCAATACTCAGTTAATGATGGTTGTTGTCATTATTGCTTTTATTAAAATATAATAAATGATAACAAAAAATCTTCAAAGCTATAATGAATAGTACTTAAGTAGGGCTAGTCATTCATCAGTTTATATATACTTGCCAATAAACATAATTACATTATATTATTTGTAGCCCTTTAATATTTCCCTATCTCACAGGTTTTACAAATGAATGTTGTTTATGAGTTCTCGCTGAAGAAACTGGGTCAGCCATTTCATTATTTAACAAATCAATAATTTTTTTTCAAAATAGATTTTAATGATATATTTCTTCTGGAAAAAATGCAGTACTACTTTCTGAAGTGATGTGTAGGCATTAACAACTTAAGTATAATAAAGATTTGAATCTCAGAAGCACTGGGGAATTGCATTCTCTCACATTTTTTTCCTGTAAAGAAGACTTGGTGTTATTCAAAAAATTTGAATTTTTTACAAACAAAAATTAGAAGCTATATCAAATGCAATGATTGTGTAACCTTCAAAAACTGACCTGTGAGCTCTTGAGGAATCCAAGTAAAATTTTATGTTGATTCCAAATAGAAATGCAGGTCAGTCTCCCTTCTGGCTTTATAATCTATTGTAGAGAGAAATAATTGGATATAAGTTATCAACTTGTTATAAGTTGATATAAGTTATCAAGTTGGTCAACAGTTTGCCAAATTTTCGATTTGTACATTTTTTTCTAAAGTATATATAGTACAGTTTTAGTATGAAATAATGGTTCACTTTTCCTAAGAAAAGTTACTACTTGCTTATTTGAAAATATTTGTTATTTCAAAGAAAAAATCCGTCTGAGAGTGTGTCTGTTTTTATACAGGTATTTGCATAAAACAATAAAATTACTACAGAAGCAGAGACATTTAAAAAATCCAATCCTAATCTCCTGTTCCAACAACCCAGGCTTTTCTGTGTCTTCCATTACATTCTTTGGTCTTCAGATATTTCTTTCATCGTACCTGAAATGTGATTTAATCTAACTAACTTCTTAAATGCAATAGGTTCTAAACTTTAGGGGGAAAAAACTAACATTTCTTAACTATCATTTTTATGATAGTATGGGTAAGGACCCTTCTTGGAATTAGAAACACATAGAAATGTATTAGTGGATACATCCATTTTTTTGTGTATATTATGTATTTTTTTCTAAACAGTCAACAAAGGGCATTCAAAAGGTCAGGAGACTCAAACCATTTCATTAATCAGATTTGTATTGACAGTACTGTGCATTATAATACATGGAGAATATGATTAGAACAGGAAGAGAGGTTTTTCCTTTGAAGCAAGGATGTACAACTGATGTGAATAATACATTTAGGAAAAGCATCTGAGTGTGCCTCTAAATGGGAAAAGCTATCATGATTACAGTTAAGTAAAATTATAAAGATCCCTGAGAAATAGCACACTGGTCTGTTGCCTGTTCTCCAAACCTGAGTAGCCCTACATTTGCAATGTGATTTAAAGCTATAATATTTAACTTAAATATCAAAATCATCTTAATGAATTTTCCTGTCAATAGAATATTCCTCCATATGTAATGGAAAAAAGAAGCAGGCAAATACTCACTTGTTTCTCCTGCTTGTTAGTTAGTGAAGTTGTCATTTTGCAAGCTAAAAATTTGTATAACTTGATAGTAGTGACTAATGGTTGAAATATCCCAGACTAACTTTGTGTATTATGCTAGGCATACTTGATAACTGTCATATATTCATTGAGTTTTTCAGATGACTCTTAGAAATAGAATTTATTTATGTCTAAAGCAAATGTAATTCATGAAAAATTAAAATTCAATTGCTGTTATATAACCCAAAAATATCTTTAACTCAATTTTAGTTTCTCAACTAGGTTGTAAGACCATTAGGGGTAGAATATCACACTTCTTTCATATGGTCCCTGTGTTAAGCGCAAGTATTCTATAAACATTTGGATTGCCAAAGAATGAATTGAGTGTGAATGAAAAAGAACAAATGATTATACGGAAGAATGAAAAAAAACTCTCTGAAAAAGTTAAAAAGTGACAAAAGACAAATGAGTGGACATCAGATACTCCTAGGTTAAAAATGGAATTTTGACTACTGATTTTTTTACTTCAGCTATTTCTCTTTGTTCCCCAAACACAAGTGTTTCCATGTACAAAATATAAGCCATAATGAGTTCTTAGAAAAGCAAATGTAGAAATGAGTGCAAATACTTGCCACAGCATCTGAAATTCAGTGGAATATAACGATGATGTTGCTCAAATACCGTTGGACACTGTTCTCAGCTTGGTTTTCATGGTTGTCTCTCCAGGTGAAGCATACATGCGACTTAGCAAGCTCCCCGAAGCAGAGCATTGGTACATGGAGTCCCTGAGGTCCAAGACTGACCACATCCCCGCACATCTGACTTATGGCAAACTGCTGGCTCTAACAGTGAGTAACTTACCTTGTTCACATTTAAGAAATTGATTCTCTCAATGTAGACCGCATATGTGGGATTTGAGGTACTGGTTCTGTCTGAGTCAGTTCACTCCAGTTTTAAGGACCTAATGATGGTGATGCTAATTAGAACTGTGTACAGAAAATACAGAAAAATGAATTACTTTATATTACAACAAAAGATATTGTGATGGAAAAATAGAAATGGAGAACCCCAAATACGTGCTTACATAATAAATTTGTCCTTAGAGCAGTATTTGCCTACATATATTCTACAGGGACAGGTTGTTGGGGCAAAGCAGGTTAAACCTCCTTTTGGGACATCTGCATCCCACACAGACTCCCACTTCGACCTCTGCTTCTGATCTAGCTTCCTGCCAATGTCCCTGGGAGGCAGCAGGTGATGGCTCAAGTACTTGAGTCATTGGCTACCATGTGGAAGAGGCTGATACAGTTTTTGGCTCTTGGATTTGGCCTGGCTTGGCCTTGGCTGTTGCGGGCATTTGGCAGTGACTCAGTAAATAGAAGGTGTGTCTGTGTGTCTTTGTGTCTGTGTGTATGTCTGTGTCTGTCTGCTTCTCCCTTTCAACAAATGAAAATGAATATTTTTAAAATATAAAATGTTAAAAAAAGTTCTACAAACCAGTGTTAGCTCAAACATGGCTATAATCAAAACAAAATCAAATCTGATTCTTTGAAATTACCATCACACCAACTGTGTCTATGCTGGAATCTCTCTGATTAACGTCATTTAGTAAAAGAATTGAATCTATCATTTGACTGCCCACTATTGACCAGCCCTCCTGGAACCTATAGTTCCATGAAAGTAATGTTAGTAGAAAGCTTAAGAATTGGCTGATATTCTACCATTGTGACCTACAGTTGGTCGCTTGATTTATTTAGTAGTATTAATGTCTTTATTTTAAACAGTATATACAATGGTTAACATTTGTAAACTTTCTGCACTTGGGGCCAACATTAGGCACAAAGGATTAAGCTGTTGCCTTGGATGCTGAGTTCCCAAATGAGTACCCTGTTCAAGTCCCCGATGCTCTGCTTCCAATCCAACTCCCTGCTAATGTGCCTGGGAAAGCCATGGATGATGGCCCAAATGCTTAGACCCCTGCCACGAGTGTAGGAGACTCACATGGCATTCCAAGATCCAGCTCGGCCTGGCCCAGCCCCAGCCATTGCAACCATTTGGGGAGTGATTTAGTGGATACAAATTTTCTCTTTGTGTGTGTGTGTGTGTGTGTACATCTTCCTCTGTTTCTGTGACTTTCAAATAAATAAATGTAAAAAAAAGGCTTTGTGCGCTCAGATAACCAATAAATGGTAGAATTAGGTTGAATCCTAAAAGCTATAATATGTTAGTTATACCACTTACTGTATTGCCAATGTTAATAAAAGTAAATGAAGAGTAGTAAAATATAGAGGAAGTAGGAACGTGACTCTTCAGTGAATTAATATAAACTATCTTAGAATTATTTCACAAAACCATTTACTTATCACAGAAGATGATTAACATTTAAACATACCATGTATTCATTTAAAGATACTACTAAAGTGCTCATTAAGCAATCATACAGGTAGACCAGATAACTGGAAAACACAAAACATATGTAGATATGCTTAATAAAACTTAGCAGATTTGCTTTAATGCTTTGCTGTGCTCAAAAAGTAGTCTGAGAACCGAAATGCCCATCAACAGTAGACTGGATAAAGAAATTATGGGACATGTACTCTATAGAATACTATACAGCAGTCAAAAACAACGAAATCCGGTCATTTGCAACAAGATGGAGGAATCTGGAAAACATTATGCTGAGTGAATTAAGCCAGTCCCAAAGGGACAAATATCATATGTTCTCCCTGATTGGCGACAACTAACTGAGCACCAAAGGGGAAACCTGTTGAAGTGAAATGGACACTATGAGAAACAGTGACTTGATCAGCTCTTGTCCTGACTGTTGATGTACAATGTAATACTTTATCCATTTTAGTATTTTCTCTTTGTTTTGTTCTAGTACTATAGGTTGAACTCTGTGATTAACACACAGTTATTCTTAGGTGTTTAAATTTTAACTGAAAAGTGATCCCTGTTAAATATAAGAGTGGGAATAAGAGAGGGAAGAGATGTACAATTTGGGACATGCTCAATCGGACTTGCCTCAAATGGTGGAGTTAGAATCATGCCAGGGGATCCCAATACAATCCCATCAAGGTGTCATGTACCAATGCCATCTCACTAGTCCAAGTAATCAATTTCAGTTCACAATTGATCACACTGATAGGTCTAAGAGTCAAAGGGATCACACAAACAAGACTAGTGTCTGCTAATACTAGCTGATAGAATCAAAAAGGGAGAGAATGATCCATCATGGGAAGCGGGATACACAGTAGACTCATAGAATGGCAGATGTCCTAAATAGCACTCTGGCCTCAGAATCAGCCCTTAAGGCATTCAGATCTGGCTGAAGAGCCCATGAGAGTATTTTAGGCATGGAAAGCCAAGACACCCTGGGGAAAAAAAAAAACAAAAAAGAAGACGACCTAAATGGAAGATCTCTGTGAGTGAGATCCCAGTGGAATGAACAGGGCCATCAAAGAAGGAGGTACCTTTCTCTGAAGGGAGGAAAGAACTTCCACTTTGACTATGACCCTGTCTCAATAAGATCGAAGTTGGCGAACTCAAAAGGCTTCCATAGCCTTGGCAACTCATGACAAGAGCCTAGGGTGATTACTGGCACCATAAACAAGAGTGTCAAATTGTTAAGTCAACAACAGGAGTCACTGTGTACTTACTTCTCATGTGGGATCTGTCCTTAACGTGTTGTCCAATGTGAAGTAATGCTATAACTAGTACTGAAACAGTATTTTACACTTTGTGTTTCTGTGTGGGTTCAGACTGATGAAATCTTTACTTAATATATACTGAATTGATCTTCTGTATATAAAGAGAATTGAAAATGAATCTTGATGTGAATGGAATGGGAGAGGGAGCAGGAGATGGGAGGGATGTGAGTGGGAGGGAAATTATGGGGGGAGAGCCATTGTAATCCATTAACTGTACTTTAAAAATTTATATTTACTAAATAAAAAATACAGAAAAAAACTGTTGATGTACAATGTAAAAAAAAAAAGTAGTCTGAGAATTTCCCAGGAGCTATAAATAAAGTGGCAATTGAGGACCAGAATAGTAAACAGTAGGCTGGTCCTACAGTTTTTCTGTTATCTATGTGGAAAAGAGTTTGTTTTCATTCTTTCTGGAACTGAAGACAAAACTCTTGGCCAATGTGAACACCTGAATTAGATACTACAATAAAGTAGGGAAAATCCAGACCTCCATTTGCAAAACATGGGTACAAGAAGGCAGCATGAACGTTTGCCCGTCTCAACGTGGGACCTGGTCGGGTCCAGAAAGTCTCTGCTAGGAACTTCTTGCTACTGTCCTCCCTTTACTGTGGGGAGCAACTGAGACTAGACTGTTACTGGAATTAAGACTTATTCTATGCATCTGCTCTCCCACAATATGGCGCTGAGAGGGAGCAAACAACCTCTACGCAGCTGCCTCATCAGTTTGACTGATAAGCTGCAGGAGCTGATCCTGCTCCTGATTGGAGGAGAGCAGTGTGCTCGGTGTGTGGGCAGCAGAGTATGGATTGGTGGAAGAGGACTATAAAGGAGGAGAGAGACAACATGCACCAGGGAACATCTAAGGGGAACATCTGAGCAGCCCCCGAGAGAGCCGGCCGGCGGTGTGCCACTCCTCCGCGGAAGTGGAGAAAGCGGTGGGGGGGTGCCGCCCCTCCTCGGAGGCTAGGGGCCGGCAGGTAACCCGGGACAGCGTCATTCCTCTGTGAGTGAGGGAACGGCAGCTAACCTGGGAAGGGCCAGGCAAAAGAACAGCGTAGGGTCCAGTGTCGTTCCTCCGTGAATGGGGGAGCAACACTTTACCAAGCATTAGGTTTTGAATTCAATTTACCTTCAAGATCAGGAAATCCCGAGGCCCAGAAATTAAGCAAAAGCCAGTCCACTAAATACCAGTGCTGAGGAAGTCACTGCAGATGTGTTTTTGAAAGAACATCAATCTGGAAAAAGTGATGGAATGAGATGTGAAAAGGATGTGGGGCAAAGAAATTGATGATAGTGTGGATAAATCAGAATATGCTTTTAATGAATAAAATTGGGGAGCAATAACTGCACAGACTGAATCACAGTGTGAGAGGAGGCTTTAGCGCTTAGGACACGTCAAATGATTTTTGGGTGTCAGAAAGCGAAAGGAAGCCCTATAGCTGATCCGACTTATTCCAAAGGAACCTGGAGACACTCGGGACTGGAAGACTGTAGGGAGCAAGTCAGAGGGCAGAAAAGGGAGTAGTCAATTGTATCTTCTGAGTGGAGGTGGCAAGCAGGTCCCTCTGCTATGTACAAGGCAGGAGAAAGGGGACTCCTAGTGATTGATGCAAGTGCATAAGGTTGGTCCAGGGCTCAGGAACAGCTTGTATGGCCTCAAAGGTGCAGAAAAGGAGGAAATGAAAAGAGGATTAACTACAGTTCCTTTCCTGGAATGAGTAGATCCCTAGTCTCCCTTTCCTACCCCATGCAAAATGCTACAAAGTTTTCTCCTTGTTTTGCTAATGCCTCTCCCTCCCTCATACCCTTTCTCCCAAGAAGTTGTTGGATTCCAATCTAAGGAAACAGAATTACTGTAGAGAAACATTTCCATCTATCTCAATTTGGAAGTCCTCTGTAAAGAGCTGCCTCCCAGCAAACACACAAAAGCGAATCTGTCTCGTCTGGGATGCCCATCTTCACTTAGGAACTTCATTCAACTTTTCCTGACTCTGAGATATCCATGAGCCTCCAAAGATTTTCAGTCATATTAGGGAAGCCTCCAATGCAAAATAATGAAACTGAAACAAATTAGGAGAAAGTTGAAAAATGTTTTTTAAAGTTTTAGTGATTTATTTGAAAACAAGGATGACAGAAAG